AGAGAGACACAGAGACAGACAGATAGACAGAGACAGACAGAGAGACAGAGACAGAGAGACAGACAGACACCCCACACACAGACACAGAGAGAGACAGAGAGACAGTGAGAGACAGAGAGAGGGGGGGAGAGACAGGGAGAGAGAGAAAGACACACACACACACAGAGAGACAGAGAGGCCGAGGGAGAGAGACACAGAGACACACAGAGAGAGACAGAGAAAGACAGACAGTGAGAGACAGAGAGAGAAACAGGGTGAGAGAGAGACAGAGACAGAGACACAGAGACACAGAGACAGACAGACACACACACACACACACACACACACAGAGAGAGACACAGAGGCAGGGAGAGGCAGAGAGAGAGACAGAGAGAAAGAGGGAGAGAGACAGAGGGAGAGACACACACACACACAGACAAAGAGAGAGACAGAGAGAGACAGAGACAGAGAGAGAGAGAGAGAGAGACAGAGGGAGAGGGAGAGAGAGAGAGACACACACACACACACACACAGAGACAGAGAGACAGAGCGACAGAGACACAGAGAGAGACAGAGAAAGACAGACAGTGAGAGACAGAGAGACAAACAGAGACAGAGACAGAGAGACAGAGAGAGAGACACACACAGAGAGAGACAGAGAGACAGTGTGAGAGAGGGAGAGAGACAGAGAGAGAGACACACACACACACAGAGAGAGAGGGAGACAGAGACATGGAGACACAGACACACAGAGAGAAAGAGACAGAGATAGACAGTGAGAGACAGAAAGAGAGACAGAGTGGGACAGGGAGAGAGAAAGATACACACAGAGAGACAGAGGGAGAGACACACAGACACACACACACAGAGAGACAGAGAGAGAGACACACACAGAGAGACAGAGAGAGACACACACAGAGACAGAGGGAGAGACACACAGAGAGAGACACACACACAGACATACAGACACACACACAGACCCCCCCGGATTCCCTCTCCTGCCTCTCATTGGGGCTCTGGAGGGCTCAACCTCCGTTTCCTCTGCTTCCAGGAACTCAGTGCGGCTGGTGATCCGGAAGGTGCAGTTCGCCCCCACCCTCACGGGCTCCTCGCCCAAAACTCAAATAACCAGGCAGTTCATGATGTCGGACAAGCCCCTGCACCTCGAGGCGTCCATGGACAAAGAGGTCAGTGTCGCTGCCACCTCTTCTCTGTTGATTTTGGGCAGATGGTCTCTGTCCTCGAAAAGGGCCAACTCGCCAACTCAATTCAACAGTTCAGATTTATGATTTCAGATGATTTAAAAACTGTTTTAATTTTAGTTATTCACATTTCATTTTGTCCCTCCTTTGACATCCTTTCTTTAATGATTATATCCCACCATTTCTTCGATATTAGAGTAATTCTTGTTCCATGGCAAATTGTCCCACAGCAAATTGTCCGTGGCGAGTTGGCCGTGGCGAGTTGTCCTACCTAGATCCTCTGTCCTGTCCCTCTGTCCTGCTTTCAGACAGGTTCAGATTCTGTCCTTGAAGCTCTGTTTGGTAATCCCAACTCTTGGCTCCTGGTTCATTGAAACTGCAGGGCCTTCTAGAATACGTGCCCTTTTCACAGATGCTACTTCGTCATCAACTTTTTCTGATTTCACCACGTTTATTGCCTTCCCAAGATTGGATTTCTTCTAATCGTAGTTCGATAGGTTTGCAGTGTAGCATCAAAAGATTAGAAGGGAAAAAGGAAAGAGGGCAGAGCAGTTTGCCCAGCGGTGCCTCCTCTCCACCATAACAGGATGCTTAATTTCTATCTGATTTTAGTAACCTATTCTCATTTCAGATTTATTACCATGGGGACCCAATTGTAGTGAATGTGGACATAAACAATACCACCAACAAGATTGTAAAGAAAATTAAAATATCAGGTGAGGCACAAATTAAACAAGCCATGGAAGCAGCCCATTCATGGTGGAATCATCCTTTGCCCATTTGGGCCCTCAGTCCACCTTCTTCTTTTAACCTTTTGCGTCGCCCAGTAATTCTTCATCTGAGCTGGTCACCGGATGAAGGTTGGAAACTCTGCCTTATGATGTTCAATGGCTTTAACAGTCATGCCTTGGGGGCGGTGTGTGTGTGTGTGTGTATAGGTGTAGGAGAGCCAAAGAGTTTGTGGCCTTTGTGGTGACCCTAAGCTTATCCCAGTTAAATTCCGGCCAAAGATATTCAGGCAGTCATAGTTTAGACAATATGATCAGGTCCCTTCCTGGTCCATTTCTATTTAATTGCCGCCTTGGTTCTCTGCAAGGTTGGATACTTTAGGGTGGGGTTCACCAGATCTATACGGTTTCTGGATCACATCCTCCCAGTGATCTGGCAGGCAGGACTGCAGAAGCCTAGTCAGTCGTTGACGAAAGAGGTAGCTTATCCCTGTCCTTAGGTTTGGGTTTTGCCTCAGCTGTCTTAGGAAGTTTGTAGGGTCATAAATGAGCATCACAAAAGATCCCATATCATCCTTATACCAGAACTTAACGTTCTTTAACATTTTCCCATTTATTTTAATATCTTTATAAACAATCTAAGATACTGCAATTCATCTACTTGCTCTAGTTTATTAACTTTTATGTATAACTTGAAATCACAAACTCCATTTTTCCTCTGAAAAATCTTGGCCTTTGATTTTTCAGATCTACACTTTTGATTGCAGCATCATTCAATCTAGCATTTGTTGCCAGTTATCTGGGTTCCCCACCACCAACACAATTGTTTGCTTACAAAAGTACAAATAGGTTCATTTCATAGGGCTGGAAAAGGACCTCCAGGTCTTCTAGTCCTCAAGGCAGGAGACCTTATACCATCTTGGTCAAGGGGTTGTCCAGTCTATTCTTGAAAACCTGCAGTGACGGAGGTTCCTCCAATTTACACATCTCTACCACCATCATCAACTCTTATCAGTGCACTAGACCAGAGGTGCCCAACCTCTGGTCCATGGGCTGGCCTCAGTCCATGGCGTGCCAGAAACCGGGCTGCACAAACAAGCAAAGCCCCAACCATGGGATGCAGGCAGCATATGAAACACGCTCCCTTCAGTCCACAGAAAATCTTCTCTCCATGGAACTGGTCCCTGGTGCCCAAACGTTTGGGGGCCACTGCACTAGACAACCAAAAAGACATTGTACATCATTGCTTCTTTCCCTGCTCGGTTTATATCACAGATTGAACACTGCATGTATTCCAAAACACACAACTTCCATCATTCGTTGTGCATTACAGCCCTAACTCTAATCCCTAATCCCATCTTCACATTAGTGTGAACCAGTGGTGGGATTCAAATTTTTTTTTTTTTTACTACCGGTTCTGTTGGGCATGGCTTGGTGGGCATGGCAGGGGAAGGATACTGCAAAATCTCCGCTCAGAGGTAGGATTTGCTGGTTCTCCAAACTACTCAAAATTTCCGCAACTGGTTCTCCAGAACTGGTCAGAACCTGCTGAATACCACCTCTGGCGTGAACCATTTCATAACTAGAGCTCAGGCAGTTTATTATACAGCATGCAGAACACGTGAATGTGGTTCTGGAAAAAGCATCCGTGGATCCTTCACTAATCTTGTAATCTTCCACCAACAACCACCACCGTCCCGTTTTGAGATGTTTTCCTTTGCCAAGTACATACATTGTAAGCTCACGCTTAAATCGCATATTCAAAACGGATCTTTTTCTAAGAAGATATTCACCAAACAGTCACCATTCTCGTTCATTGTTGGTTATCTGAATGGCTAAATCAGGTTTTTTGACCCATGATTCACTGCTTACATTCCACCAACTAGAAGGTTCATGTAGTGTACTGACAGAATAGCAGAGTTGGAAGGAACCCAGGAGATCTTCTAGTCCACCCTCCCACTCATATTGACACACTCAAAATATGTGGGTGCTCCATCACTGGAGGGTTTTAAGAAGAGATTGGACAGCCATTTGTCCAGAAAGGTATAGGACCATGATAATGAACCTATGGCACGCATGCCACAAGTGGCACGCAGAGCCAGGTGTGTGGGCACGCGAGCCCCAGCCAAACTTTCACGCACTGCGCATGCGCGTGCCTCCCAGATGATTTTGGCCTGTTTGAAGCCCCCTTTGGCCTCCCAGAGGCTCAAGGGGAGCCTCTGCAGCCTTTGGAGACTGAAAAACAGGCACGTTTTGTCACTTCCTATATTTCTGGAAATACCAGAAGTGACGAAACGGGCCCGTTTTTCAGCTTCCAAAGCCTCCCAGAGGCTTCCCTCGAGCCTCTGGGAGGCCCAAAAAGACCTCAAAGAGGCCAAAATCAGCTGGGAGGCATGCATATGTGCAGTGCTGGAAATGGGGCGGCGGGAGGGGGATCGTGCGTGCATGCTCAGGGAGCGTGCCCCCCCCAAGCGCATTGCCTTCTGGGTGCTGGCATGTGAGCGTGCTCGCGCAAATGCACAATTTTTGGCACAGGAGCCCAAAAAGGTTAGCCACCACTGGTATAGGATCTTCTGTCTGAGCAAGAGATTGGACTAGAAGACCTCCAAGGTCCCTCTCCATTCTATTATTTTGTTATTCTGAAATGTTAAACTATTAGGGACATGGTTCCACCTGCATGATTGATAAACTTGTGATATCTGCGTAAAATCCCCCGCTCCCTACAACCTTAGGGGTTTACTCCTGTGTCTCCCTTTTTCTCTCCAGTTGAACAGCTCACAGATGTGGTTCTCTATTCCCTCGATAATTATGTGAAGATGGTCTGCTCAGAGGAATTTGTGTAAGTGGCCTGTCTTTGGCAGGTGGGAGTCGAGGAGGGCAGTGGGCCAGCCTCGGGAGAACGTTCTCTTGGGGGCAGCGAAGGAACCTTGGAGCTCTTGCAACCCTGAAGAGAGTTCCAGAAATGAGGACACACACAGCTTCTCCCTTCCCGAAAGTCCAAAAAGTACGATGTCTTCAGCAAAGTCCCCGAGCGATGGGGGAGGAGAGAGAGTCCCCTAGGCCAGGGGTCTCCAACCTTGGCAACCTGGCCAGCTGGGGAATTCTGGGAGTTGAAGTCCTCCAGGCTTAAAGTTGCCCAGGTTGGAGAGCCCTGGCCTAGGCAACACAATCACAGTCGGGGTAAGGGGAGTAAAGGAATGTGGGAGTCATTGGAGGGGTGGCGGTTTTTTTATTTTTAAAATTTAAAGGTTACTATATGATAAAATAGAAATAAAAATTGAAAAATAGCAATAGCATTTAGACTAATATAGCTCTTCACAGTGCTTTACAGCATCTCTAAACAGTTTACAGAGTTTGCTGGCTGGGGAATTCTGGGAATTGAAGTCCTCCCGGATTAAAGTTGCCCAGGTTGGAGACCCCTGGACTAGTCTAACCTTCTGCTCAAATTGACACACTCAAAAGAAGCAGATCATCTGTTTGTCTTCTGCTTTGCCCTGAAACACGCTACACGTGTGTTTGATTCGTGTTTGAAAAGGAGAGCGTGGGTTCTTTTAGACAGTTTTGAAGATGGAATCTGTACAGTTGCGTGTCATGTGGAGATATGAAAGCCCGTGACCAGGGAAAAGGTCACTCCTGAATTGAGGAGTGAAAAAATGGAGGAAGCAGCTGTTTTTGGCAATCTGGATCGTTCAGAAGCTTAAAGTAGGGGATCCTGAAATGGTGTGATTTGGATGAGTCAGGAGATAATCCCAGTGAATTCAGGGAAGTCTCATGAAATTGTCTGTCTTGATGCACCGGAGGGAACCTGTCCCTTTCGCTTTTTCCAATGCATACGCACACAGTAATGCTCCTCCTTTGCATGCACAAGGTGCCCACAGAATGGGAGTGCAGGTCTGTAAATCACATATCCCTTGATTAAGGTCTGAATGTAACCTCCTGCCTAAGCAGGGGGTTGGACTAGAAGACCTCCAAGGTCCCTTCCTAACTCTGTTATTCTAACATATTTATAACTTGCTTTGTCTATTTCTCTTCTGGGGAAAAATGATTTTCTCCACCGGTGCCAAGCTAGAGTTTTTGCAAGCCTTGGCTGAGCCTACCAGCTTCTTGTCCACTGATCTTGTCTTGCCTTCCCTGTAGGGAGAACGTGGCTGCAAACTCCACTTTCTCCAAAACGTTCACGGTGACTCCCTTGTTGAGCAACAATCGTGAGAAACGTGGTTTGGCTCTGGATGGCAAGCTCAAACACGAGGACACCAACCTGGCTTCCACCACCATGTAAGAGGAAGAATCTGCCCCTTCTCCCTCCCTCCCTCCCTTCCTCCCTCCCCCTGGATCTTTTGCTCCTCAGCCCTTCCAACGTCTCCCCTTCTTCCTTCCTAGTCTGAGGCCTGGGATGGACAAAGAAGTTCTGGGCATCCTGGTTTCCTACAAAGTGAAAGTCACCTTGGTGGTATCGAGAGGAGGGTAAGTCTTTTTCCCCAGAAGAAGAGCATGGAAAAGCCCCCTTTGGATTCTGCCCCAATGCCTCTTTTTCCCTCTGTTCCCCCTCCCCACACTTTCCCTTGGGGAACTCAGCTCCAGGCTGTCAGGATTCCGGCAGTTACCCCCATTTAAATCACGAGTCTTGAGCCAAACTTCCAAAACTTCAAAAGGATTTATTGGGAGTTAACATGCCGGCACTGCCTGAGTGTAGCCGGCTCTGAGACACATAATTCACTGTCACCCTTGACCCTGGTTTCCTCCCCCTCCCAATTCCCTGGACGTATCGTAATTCATATTCTCCAATGGGACACGTCCATAGCCCAGAGTCATCAATCATGCTCTCCAGTTAGAATTTTGCGCAGCAGAAACTTTGGTCACCTGGTTACTATCTTTGAAAACATTTATGGAATGCAGTTTCTGTTTGCAAGCTGCTGCACTGCTCCCCTCTCCCTTTCTGTTGGCAACTCTAAAAAGACCATAGAAATATTTTAGGAGTTGACACAGGTGGCATTGGGGCATTGGTGGGTGCTGGGGGGGGGGGAGTTTCCGTGGCTTTGAATGGCAATCTGCCCAGAGCCTTAGGCCTTTTCTTCCTTTGCTCGGTTCCTGGCAGGTTCTTGCCTGGTATTTTGATTCTGCTTCATTCATACGACCTGCTAGGTCAAGTACAGGAAGTCCTCAACTTGCAACCGTTCATTTAGGGACCGTTTCGAAGTTACAACAGCACTGAAAAAAGTGACCAATTATCGTGTTTCCACACTTATGACTGTTGCAACATCCCCATGGTCATATGATCAGAATTCAGATGCTTGTCAACGGACACATATTTATGATGGTTGCAATGTCCCAGGGGTGTCACCTGATCCCCTTTGGCGACCTTCTAACTAGCAAAGTCAATGGGGAGAGGCCAGATTCACTTAACAACTGAGTTACTAACTTTAATAGCTGCAATGATTCACTTAACAATGGTGGCAAGAAAGATGGAAAATGGGGTCAAATTCATGTAACAATTGTCTCACTCAGCAACAGAAAGTTTGCGCTCAATTGTGGTCGTAAGTCGAGGACTTCCTGTACACATAGGGGCAGCCTTTGGTTTTAAACATTATCACAACTGATCTATATTAACAAAGTGATATTGACATTAAATTAAAGGAGAAAAACTTGGGGAAAATAATCTCAAGAAATTGCTCAAGAGCCCTTCTCTTCCCTGTCTATTTGCTCAAGACCAGCAAACCCTCATTCAAATATTCATCCGCAGTCAAAGATCTTCCAGTATTGTCTGGTGGTTATTCTCTCACTTTAATAGCCCATCGTTCTTGGTCAGTTTGAAGCCCAGCTAGCTTCAGTTGATCTTTAAACAATGACCACCGGGTCAGCGTTTCTTAGGACTCAGGTGGGAGACCCACAGGACATTCCAGGGGGATAGACTAGATGGGAAAAATTCCCTGAAAAAGACAGAAGTAAATTGGTTTGTATGTTATTAACCCACCACCCAAAGCAGGTCAGAAAGTGATCAGGCAAACACACGAAGGACTTCATTCCTCCTTTGTGTCTAAATTGGACAGAAATTGGAGATTGGAGGCTGAACCCCAGCAATTTACTGGCAAAAAATTAGCACTGAAGAGTTGCTGTTTCTGAGAGGCAATTTGGTTTAGGGGTGAAGGTGCCAGGCTGGAAACCAGGAGACGGGGAGTTCTAATCCCGCCTTAGGCATGGAAGCCAGCTGGGTGACTTTGGGCCAATCACTCTCTCAGCCCAGCCCACCTCACAGGGTTGTTGTGGGGGAAATAGGAGAAGGAAGGAGTATTGGGGATGTTCATTGCCTTGAGTGGTTTGTAAGAATAATACAGGCAGAAAAGAAATAAATAACAACATAAATATATGAATAAAATATCTCCCCTTTCCTATATGTGAAGTGCTCTTTGTGTATTCCATGTTGAGCCTTTCTTCTTTTCACAGCATCCTGGGAGATCTCACATCAAGGTAAGTACGCAGTTATTGATCAGTAAATCAGTTTATTCCCGGTTGTTTTGAAAGATGCCTGCCTTAAGCTTTGTGGGCTGTGCTCTTGAGTGTGTGCTGCCACGCTGAGATACCTGTGAGGTTGGTGGCAGGGTGGCATTCAAATGTTTAACAACCGGTTCTGTGGGTGTGGCTTGATGGGCGTGGTTTGGTGGTCATGTTATTGGCTGGGCGTGGCCAACTCAATATCACTCACATCGAGGCATGTATCTCCTTGCCTGGCCTCTCATGACTGTGAGGATGCTGCAACAGTGTGAAAAATGGTCATAAGTCACTTTTTTTCAGTGCCATTGTAACTTTGAATGGTCCCTCCACACAAGCAAAGTACCAGCAAAGGAGGGGAATAAACTCCAGAGAAGTTCCTGAGACAGGAAGTCTAGTCCTGCCAAGAATGTAATAAGGGTTAATGGAGAGGCAGTTTCTGTCAGCAACACCAGAATGTTTCCTTCCTGCCTTCCTTACAGGATTAGGCCAGTAGTTTCTTCTAACAACCGGTTCTCCGAACTGCTTAGAACGTTAACAGCCGGTTCTAGCAAATAGGTGCGAACTGGTAGAATCCCACACCTGCTTGGTGGGTTATTGGAATACCAGTAAGCTGGCTTTCAGGGTAGTCCCTAGATTAGTGATTGTGCTTGCATAGAAGAGTGTGAACAATTTGGGCTGTAATTCCTGGTCAGAATGTACCAAAATGTGCCATTCCTGCCCTCACCATTAGCAGGGAATACCCCCCATGGCATAGAGCAGTGGTGGCTAACCTTTTTCAGCTCCCGTGCCGATAATTACGCTCGTGCTTGTGTGCCAGCATCCAGAAGGCAATGCATGCTGCGCCCCCATGCCCCTTGCACATGCACACGTGATTCCCCCAGCCACATGCTGTGTGCATGCACTTTTTATTCCCATGTGCACTGCATTTCTCTCTGCATGCACGCGTGGCCCCCACACGCCATGCATCTGTGCATGTGTACGCGATCCCCCCGTGTGCCGCACATCTGTGCATGTGAACCCCGTTGTGCATCTCTGCATATGCACGTGCGTCTCCTGCATGCCAGATACCCGACAATCAGCTGTCGGACAGCACAGTGGGGCTCTTCTGGGCAAGCTCTCGCGTGCTGGCAGAAGTGGCTCTGTGTGCCATTTCTGGCACTCGTGCCATAGGTTTGCCCACAAGGGCATAGAGGCAGAGTGAGGAGGTTGGGGAGGAACCTGGGCCAGTCGTGGAGTCTGGGGAAGGCTCTGATGAGTGCCCTGCATTGGATGCAGAGATGGGGCCAGGGCTGTCCGACAGTTATCATCTGCCTTCGGAGTCAGAGATCAGTTGGGCAGAAGAACAGCTGGAGCCTGTTCCCAATGTGCACATGCGCAGAGCTGCCAGAAGGGAACAATGAAGGAGCAAGGGAGTAAAGGCAGACTTGGACAGTGAGGAGGTTGGGGAGGAACCTGGGCCAGTCCTGGAGTCTGGGGAAGGCTCGGATGAGTGCTCTGCGTCAGAGGCAGAGATGGGGCCGTCTGACGGTTATCAGCTGCCTTTGGAGTCAGACATCTGTGAGGCAGAACAACATGTGTATTTTTGTTGTATATTCCATTGATTTTTACAAAAAAATACCCCTTTATTTATTATTGGGTTTCTTTTCGTTCTGCTGCTTATGGCCCAGGGTCATAATTTCAGTCAGTTAACAAATGCCTACATAAAACAAATGCACGTGTCAAAACGTAAATGAATCCTGCATTAAAGAAAATTTTCTGCCTCCTTTGGACAAATTAATGTGTTTTGTTTTTCAGTGATGTCTCTGTTGAGATGCCGGTTATTCTGATGCACCCTAAACCCCCCGAAAGTAAGTGCTGTCTAGGAAGCGCCCCTGCCTTGCTGTCTCAAGACATTTTCAAGGCTTTGGGAAAAGGCCAGGCTCTGGGAAATGCTCCAGTCCCCCAGGCTGGAATCAGCCGCCTGCCCCCCTCCTCCTTCAGTGCTGGGCAAAATCCAGGGGCCACTGATGGAGGAAGGGGGGTGGGGGGTGAGAGGGGCCTGTCTTCAGGAGCTGGGCCCAAAGCAAGGCAGCCAATGCCTGCCTTTGGGGAGGATTTCATGCTGCTCTTAGAAATGGACATTGGAAGGAGGAGGTTTATAGCAGGGGTCGCCAACCTTTTGGACCAAACTCATAATTTTAAACCCCGCGGACTACTAATATGAATTTTGACTGACAGTGGCTTGCTGACGGTGGGAGAGAGAGAGAGAGATGGTGTTCTGCGATCCAAATTAAGAATGATCGGTCAGTAGGAATACGGGGTGGGGGATTTTCCTGCAGGCATTTTTTGGGGGGATTTTCCCAGGGTCTCTGTCTGCAGTGGCCAAAGTTGAGAGATGCTGGGCTAAAGCAAGGATTCTCAACCTTAGCAAGTTTTTTTTTTCATTTATGAAAATGAAAAAAATAAAATAAACGAGGTTCTTTCCCCATGCCTGGCCTTTCCACCACTGGACCCTCCCTCATCTACTGTGCAGCCCCCTCTCAGTCGACTCTTCCCCCCCACCCCCTACCAGTTTTTGTTCATTTTGGTGCCGTGGGAGAGAACCTGACCACATATTTAAATGGCACCACTGATGCTCCAGAATGGAGTGGTTCTGATACCAGCACCCTAAGGTAAACAATAACAGCCCCCCATCAACCAACCCTCCACCAAACGACACACACACACACACACACCCCACCACGACCACCAACAACAAGAGAGTGCCTCTAACTGCCTGAGCCCAATGCTGGGGAAGTCCTAGCAAAATGCTAAATTCCTTGAATAATCTCCTTTTTTTGTCCCTGGCCCCACCGACAAGAGCTGTTTTGGGAGGGGCTAATCCCATCAGGCTGCACCAGGGTGAAGGTTGACTAGAGTTTTCAGTACCTGTAAGGCTGCAGGCCCCCATTGGCCCCCTGAATGATCCAACTGTCCAGCATTTCAAAAATGTCCAGAGAAGTTGGACCTGCCTGCTTGGTTACTCTGTGTGTGTGTGTGTGTGTGTGTGTGCGCGTGCGTGTTGCACATAGCCAGCTAATAGGTATAGGTGGGCAGGGATTTTTTCTTGGATAACGTTGTCATGATTAATGTGACTAAATAGCATCTGTGTTTCTCTTTCATCTTCTGCCTCTTCCTGATTGACAGTAATATCCAGGTAAGAAAAGAGGGCTGCACACTAGAATTGGCAGCGTGTCATTATGGATAATTCATTCTCCAAAATAAATTTAGCTCTGACAAAAACTCACCGTTGTTAAGAATTGGGGATTCTTCTGACTACCCCAAAATGTACTTTTATGCAATTTTGCAGAATTTCAACTTCCATGAAAAGTTAATTAATTGGGAAGCTTATGATAGTGCCGTGTTTCACTGTAGAAGGAACATGTGGCAATCTTCTTGTACATTTTTTTCCCCAGCTAGTTTTTAGATCAGAGTTTCTCAACCTTGGGAACTTGAAGGTGGGTGAACTTGAATCCCCAGAATTCCCCATTGTTGGCTGGGGATCAAGTTGCCAAGGCTGAGAAACATTTCTTTAGAAAAACCCACCCCCCTAAATCATATTTATATATGCCTATATTTTGAACGAGTATCTGAAACTGCTGGGTTTTGGTTTCCTCTTCCATCCCTTGTGGTGGTCCCATATCATCATCTGCCTGGTGGATTGGCCTGTTGTGTCCAGCCTGTCATTCCTCCCTCCCTGTTCTGACCCAAACCTTGTTCCAAGGAAACAAACACTTAACAGAGGTAACAGCAAAACCTTTTAATTCTTTGCGAATTCCGTTCCTTCACGGTTGAAAGGCTGTTCCAAACTCATTGTCTCTGATAAGAACGAGCCTTGCCAAGGTTGTGCAAGGCTGCCAAGAACACTAGATAAAGTTGCCAAGAAATATTTCAAACACAAAGAGTCTCCAAACACAAACGAAGAGAGTCCGAACTTCCACAAGGCTTGAAGTGCAAGAACTTCTTTGCTTCCTGCAAAGAATGTCAGTTTCTCAGCTGGCTTTTATCTCCTCAGGGAGGGGCCATTACCTTGCAGCCTTACTCCCGAGTCGCCCGTGCTGCTGCAGCTGCTCTTTCCTTCGAGCAGCCCTGCACACACTTCCATTGGGCACAGGCTCCTCAAGGGCCTCTTCCTCACTGCTGCCAGCCACCACCATCTCCGAAGGCAGCACTCCACTCCCTGATGTTCCTGGCCCCATCCTTGCATCACATGCAGGCCCCTCACCTGAGTCCTCGCTCTCCAAGACCTCAGCTGCCCACACCTGCTGCCGGCGAACCACAACACCCCCCCCCCGCCCATCTGGGAGAACAGACTTCCACTAGCAGAACCCAAAGACCTCCCACCCCCTCGGACCCCAAGAACCAGGGAGGAGGGGAGGGCACCCCAAAGATCTGAGAGCTGGACCTTTCAGCTCTGCTTCCTTCCAGTCTCCTCAGTATTTGCACCGGAGCTGGAGCTCTGGGCTCAGCAAATAGGTGGGCCTGGCTGCGCACGGAGCAGCGGGAATTCCTAGTCTGTCCTGTCCTGGGCAGAAGAATTCAGGAGGGAAGGAGGGCTTGAGTGCAAGACCCGAGACTGATTCTATCACAGCTTGGACTCTCATTTTGAAACCTGCCTTTCTTTTTTCCTGTGGTTTCCAGCGATGATATTTTGGTTGAGGACTTCGCCCGCCAGAAACTCGGAGAAGGGGAAAGTGATGAAGAGCAGGCGGAGGAAGGAGGGAAAAGCTAGTGCTCAACGGTCTTCAGTAGGGGCCACTCAAAGAGTTTCAAAGCGGAGATTATTTAGGGCATATTCATGAGTTCCGTGCATTTTACCTTAATCTTTCAGTATCGTGTTTGTAATGTGATAATTCCTCGTGAGCCTGTTTTCCCCCACTGTGTTTAATGCGCTTTGCAAAAGACTTGCTGTACTCCGAAGCTTTCCCCCCAGCCTGAAAACATGAAGGGGGCAGCCATCCAGGCACCAAGGTGGCTCCTCCACCCCTTCATTTTGCCTGCTTCCTTTTCCCCAAGCCCAGCCTTCCAACCGCTGGACCCTTCCTCATCCAATAAACAGCCCCCCCCCATCCACCCTTCCCCCCCCCCCCCCAGTGGATTCTGATCATTTTAGTGCAGTTGGAGCAGACCTGACAACCCTTTCCTAAGAATTATTGGCATTATTGGAAAAAGAAAGCTGGTTATCCAGATATCCTGTGATTGTGTGAATAAATGTTATTCTATCAAAATGCTTGGCTGGACATGTGTTTATGTTTAAACTCAGTTACTGATGACTGAATCATAACCTCTGCTGGAAGTTGGCTGCAAGCTCTCTCTACCCTGGCGTTTGAAATTCCCTCCTGTCAGCTTGTGGTTATGCCCCAGTGTTTCTTGATTTTTTGCTTAATATTGAAAATACTGCCTTCTTGAACCGTGTCTCCAACCGTGGCCACTTTAAGACTTTATTTATTTATTTTATTTGGTTTGTCAATTGCTTACAAGATAATAGGTATAAGTAAAAACTTAGCTATGAATACATGGATACATATAAGAAAAATAAAAGACACAATAGGACAGGGACCTACCTACTTATGCACGCCCCCCTACAGGCCTACAGGGGTGAGGTCAATATTAGACAGTCTAAGGTTAAAGTTTTTGGGGTTGGGGGAAGAAACCACAGAGTCAGGTAGAGTATTCCAGACATTGACCACTCTGTTGCTGAAGTCGTATTTCCTGCAATCAAGTTTGGTGCGGTTAACCTTGAGTTTGTATCTATTGTGTGCTCTTGTGTTGTTATGGTTGAAGCTGAAGTATTCATTGACAGGTAGGACATTGCAATGTATGATTTTATATACCATGCTTAAATCAGACCGAAGACGGCGTAATTCAAGGTTTTCTAGTTCTAGAATTTCAAGTCTGGTGGCATAAGGTATTCTACAACGAGTAGAGGAGTAGAGAACTCTTCTCGTGAAATATTTCTGGACTTTCTCAACTGTGCTAATATCAGATACGTAATGTGGGTTCCAGACTGATGAGCTGTATTCGAGTACTTGGTCTAGCAAATGTTTTGTATGCTCTAGTTAGTAGTGTAATATTACCAGAGAAAAAGCTACGTAAGATTAGGTTAACAACTCTTTAATGCCTTTTTGGCAATGTAGTTACAGTGGGCTCTAGCACTTAGGTCATTTGGGATGAGTTCTCCAAGGTCCTTGACAGAGTTTAGATCATCAACAAGGTCTTGACTATTCAGCCTGTATTTTATTTTCTGATTTTTTTTTTTGCCAATATGTAAGACAGAGCATTTATTTGTTGAGATTTGAAGTTGCTATTTGTTTGACCATTCTGATACATAGTCGAGGTGTTTTTGAACGGTAGCAGTATTGTCTGTGGTGTTGAATAGCTTTACATCATCAGCGAAGAGAATGCAGTTTCTCTTAATATGATCACAGAGGTCATTTATGTAGAGTATGAAGAGAGTTGGTCCTACAACACTTCCTTGGGGGATACCACTGTTGACAGGTACAGAATTTGATAGGACGCTCCCAATTTTGACCATTTGTTGTCTGTTTGCCAGGAATGCTTCTATCCAGTTATGCAGGTGTCCAGAGATACCATAAGATTGTAGTTTTAGGAGTAGTTTGTTGTGTACCACTGAATCAAAGGCTTTACAGAAGTCTATGTAGATTGCGTCTATTGCTTTGCCCTGATCCAGTTGTGTAGTCCATGTGTTTTTGCAATGTGAGAGTTGCAGATTACAGGATAGTTTTTTCCTGAAATCAAATTGTTTATTAGAGAGTAGGTTGTTTGTCTCTAAGTGGAGGATAATGGATTGGTTAATAATTGATTCCATGACTTTACAGGTGACGCAGCATAAAGAGATTGGTCTGTAATTTTCAACTAGGCTGGGGTCTCCCTTTCTGAAGATGGGGATGACCGTGGCTTATGACCATAGTTTTGGCAAGGAGCTGGTCCTGAAAGATTTTTCAAAGATTATGCTTAGAGGTTTGGCTATGGCAGTGGGTAGCTTTTTTAAGAAGTAGGCACATATTCCATCCGGTCCAATAGATAGAGATGGTTTTAGATTGCGCAGTGCTTTTTCAACAGTGTCTTCTGTAAAATCGATATGTATTAGATCATTGTAGTTGTCTGTGGTTCAACTAGGAAATATTGGGCATGATCCATTGCTGTTTACAAATACTGAGCCAAAGAATGTGTTAAAGTGGTTTGCTTTGATGGTGTTGTCATTGCAGTCTTTACCATTAGGTCCTTTCAGGGGTGGGATGGACCTTGAGTCTTTTAGTTTGTTGTTTACAAAATTTTAGAAAGCACGGGTGGAATTTTTGCGTAGAAGGTTTTCCTCTTGTTTAATGTGATAATTAGTGCATTCAGTTTTTATCTGGTGGCATAGATTTTTGTATCGGCTTTTGAAGTTGGCAACATGACCAGATTTGTTTTTCCACCAAAGTGATCTCTTTTTGGATTGAAGCTTCCTTATTGTTATGGGTAATCTTTTTTTTTCTGGTTTTGGGAGTTGTTATTGGTATATATAGTTTGATGACTCTTTTGACTTCAAGTAAAAATATGTTGTAATGGTCTTCAACAGTATTGCATCCAGAGAATAGAAATTGCCAATCGAGGGATGAGAGATCGTTGTTTATAAGATCATAGTTGCCTTTTTTGAAGTTATAATTGGGGATTCTGTCGTTGTGATGATTTTTGTGTGGACGTATGTTGAGACAAAAGTCAATCATGCTGTGGTCACTGTTGGAAAAGGGTTCTTTAATTTAATTTAATTTAATTTAATTTAATGAGTTCCTAGCTAGCTTTGCTTTGCTGAACTTTGCTGGCTGAGGAATTCTGGGAGTTGAAGTCCACAAGTCTTACAGTGGCCAAGGTTCCAGACCCCAGTTCTAGAACATTATTCTCAGTGGTGGGATTCAAATATTGTTGCCATCGGTTCAGTGGGCGTGGCTTCTAACTCGTTCTAACTCGCCTCCTGCAAACCTGCACGATTCTGGTTGCTCCAGCAGCTGCCACGTGGCGCTATTCTGTGGCACGCAAAGCAGCTGCGCTTCAAATTCAATGGATCAAGGTGAGTATGGGAGCCCGGTCGGCAGGTGGGCCCAACAGCAGAGCGGTGGAGAGAATCGGTTCGGTCTCTGCTGCTCATTGCTGCTACCAGCTCTACAGAACCGGTCAGAACCGGTCGAATATCACCACTGATTATTCTCATCCCCTTTTCCCTTCTATCCTTCCAGGCTGCACATAGCCAGTCCTTCTAATCTCTCTGATATGTTTTGTTCCTCAGACTTTGCACCATTTTTTCCCCATCTCTGGACTCAACTCAGTCTTATCAATACCTTAAAAAAATATTTAAAAAGATCCCTCTCCCAGTTACTGCTATTGAGTCAGGTGCCACCCATTCTATGCATCTAGTTTTTTCCCCCCTTGCGTAAGTGTAAAACCTTACTTTTCTCACTGGTGAATTTCATTTTGTTGGATAAGGCCCAGTCTTCAAGTCTATCTATCAAGGTCCTTCTGGATCTTGAAACTATCTTCTAAAGTGTTGGCTATTCCTGCCAGCTTGGTGTGTCTGCAGATTTGATGAGTTATCCTCATTTATTCCTTCATTCTAGATCATTTATGGGGGAAAAATAATCCTTAGAGATAGACTGGTGGAGACATGCCACTCATGGAAAAAAAAAATCCAACCCAGGCCAGGCCAGCCTCCCTGCTGGACCTAAGTAATCCATTTCAAATTGTGGGTGCTCTGGGGTTTTTAAAAGAAGAGATTGGACAACCATTTGTCTGGAATGGTATAGGGGTCTCTTATTTAAGCAGTGGGTTGGACTAGAAGACCTCCAAGGTCACTTCCAAGTCTGTTATTCTGCTATTCTGTATTACATTCTGTATTCTGATCTGATTTTCCAACGAATCCTTCAGGATTAGGAGTGAAAGCAAGAGGGGCAATGCAACCCAAGCCCATGGTCTCTGTCCATGCACAAAGGGCTGGGTTTCAGCTCTGCAGCTATGCCTCCCTCCCACCCACCCCTCCCTGGGACATACTTGCCCGGAAGGTAATTTACAAGATGTTTTTGACCAAACTGGGGCCTGAATCCCTTCATTCTATTCCTCACAACTGCTTAATTGAACATTTTCTCTTGCTGGAGAGGATTGAACACAAAAGTCGAGTCGCTTTTCCTTTATTTAGAAGCTGGTGACCATTTTGATACTGAAAACTGGCTACCTGGTTTATGGATTCTTTTTCAAAAGAAACTTACTTTATTGATTCAAAAAGTGCTGAAAGAATTAAAATGTCTCGAAAATATTGGAAAAATAGTTTTCAAAAATACTCCCAAACAAGATTTTCTGCAAGTTTACAGAAAACATTTGGAAAAAAGGAGTCATTTTGCAATACTGTTTCAATCCCACATCCATGCACACTTAAAAAAAACAAAACACCAATTTAATTTATTGCAGCCAAAGACCAGTACAGGTAATAAAAAAAAAAGCACACAGAATTTAAGACAGACTTAATTTGTAAAGCAACCTAACTAACATCTATAATTGAGATATAGCCTATATTAAATTATAATTTAAACACTAAAATTATATTAAATGTACTAACATCTAAAATCACAACAAAGTATTTAAAACTATTAATATCGACAAAGTAATAAGTTTGCCGTTGGCCACCAATGGGAGCCTGGAGGATTCTCCCTCACCCCTTAAACTCTGGTGGGAGGCTGAGGAATCATCCCCCACTTGTCTCAAAAAAAAAAAAAACCCCAAGATTTATTTATTTTTTTTGCTTCAAAAGGCAACTGGATTGTTTTTTCCTTGAGGAAGAAGGAAAAAAACATTTAACCTCATTCAAGAAGCTTCATCAGTTCTGACGGTGGAGGGACGGAAAGATAGGTACTGGTATGTATACATACCTATGGGTAGATATAGTACCTATCCTTCCATTACTCTGTCATTAGAAGCGATGAAGCTTCTTGGATGAGAAGTGGAACATTGTCTTCCTCCACAAAGGGGAAAAAAAGTCTGCCTGCCTTTTGAAGAAAAAAGCACCTTCCAGACAACTGGATGACTGAGAAAATCTCCATAGGCAGCCAGTGGTGGAATTCCAATCTTTTTACTACCGTTTTTGAGGGCGTGGCTTGGCTTGGTGGATGTGGCAGGGGAAGGATACTGCAAAATGATCCTATG